TGTGGTGTCTGTTGTTGTTTCTCCTCTTTTATTTCTGATTTCTCTTTTTTTATGAGTCTAGCTAGGAGTTCTTATCAATTTCATTGATCTTTTTATTGATCTGCTCTATTATTTTTAATTTCTATATTGTTTATCTGATCTTATTTCCTTCCTTCCTTCTACTGGTTTGGGGTTTTCTTTGTTCTTTTTCTAGCTCCTTTAGGTATAAGGTTGGGTCGTTTGAGATTTTTGCTTCTTGAGGTAGGCCTGTGTTGCTATAAACTTCCCTCTTAGAACAGCTTTTGCTGCATCCCAAAGATTTGGGACCATTGTGTTTTCATTTTCATTTCTCTCCATGTATCTTTTTGATTTCTTCTTTGATTTCTTGGTTGACCCATTCATTGTTTAGTGGCATGTTATTTAACCTCCATGTATTTGTGTTCTTTTTAGATTTTTTCTTGTAGTTGATTTCTAGTTTTATAGTGTCATGATCAGAAAAGATGCATGGTATGACTTTGATATTTTTGAGTTTATTGAGGCTTGTTTTGTGGCCTAATATGTGATCTATTCCAGAGAATGTTCCATATGCACATGGAAAGAATTGTATTCTGCTGTTTTAGGATGGAATGTTCTGAATGTATCTGCTAGATCCATCTGATTCAGTGTATCATTCAAAGCCACAGTGTCCTTGTTGATTCTATTTAGATGATATGTCCATTGATATAAGTGGGGTGTTAATGTACCCTACCATTGTATTACTATGAGTTACTTCCTTTATGTTTGTTATTAGCTTTTTCATGTATTTGGGTGCTCCCATGTTGGATGTATATTTACAATTGTTATATCTTCTTTTTGAATCATTCCCTTTATGAGTATATAGTGTCCTTCTTTGTCTCTTGTTACAGTTTTTGTTTTAAAGTCTATTTTTTTTCTGATATAAGCCTTGCAACCCTGGCTCTCTTTTCACTTCCACTTGCATGATAAATGCTTTTCCATCCCTTCAAAATATTGCCCTGATATACACAAAAATTTCCCAATAATGATAATTAAAAACAGGTACTCCCAACCCTTGTGTTCACACCAATTTTCAATCTAGATTGGCTTAATCTTGAAATGTAATCCAATAAGACTGAAGACCAAACACTTCAGGTCCTGGACAAGATAATAAAATACTCATAAGCCTTCTGGATCCTTGGATTGATTGACATCAATAAGAGAACCAATTTTTGATGTTGTGAAAGAAATGTGTTCATCTCCAATTGACAATTTCAATCTCCTGCCATCCCACTCGGTCAGAGGGAGGCCACAAGGCATCATCCTCTTTGGTAATTTCACTGTCATCAATTATTCTCTTCAGTTCCTCCATTACACTTTTATGTACATAAGCCTCTTTTCTGATCATGACATCATTTTTGTAATTGCTGTTGTTAGTATATCTCAATTTCCTGTCGGGTCAGAACTCGAACTCCAGGAACTTATGGCCAAATTTGCCTTTATGACCCACATAGTAATGCAGATAAAAGTCACTCTCCATGGTTCACAAGGAGGGAACCAAGACTAAACATTACCAGCAAGCCTCATCGTCGCTGTTTGCACCCAACACTGACGTTTACCTGGGCGCCAGGTCTTGCATTTTTATCCATTCTGTCACCATGTCTTTTGATTGGAGTGTTTAGTCCATTTACATTCAAAGTAATTTCTGATACGTATATATTTATTACCATTTTGTTACTTGTTTTTTGGTTGTTTTTGTAGTTTTTCTCTGTTCTTCTCTTGCCCTCTTCTCTTACAGTTTGCTGGCTTTATTTAGTGATATACTTAGATTCTCTTTATTCTTTGCATATCTATTAGTTTTGTTTTTTTTTTTTTTTTACTTATGGTTACCATTAGCTTTATATATAACACCTTCTGCATGTAGCAGTCTATTCTAAGTTGATGGTTGCTTAAGTTTGAACCCATTCTTTATTCCCTCCTCCCATTTTAGGTATATGGTGTCATACCTTATATCCTCTTATTTTGTGAATCCCTTGACTGATTTTTATAGATATTTTTACTGCTTTTTTGCTTCCTATTTTTCTTACTCCTACTTATGCTCTTTCCACTCAAAGAATCTCCTTTAATCTTTCTTGTAAAATTGGTTTCATGGTCATGAATTTCTTTAACTTTTATTTGTCTGAGAAACTCTTTATTTCTCCTTCTAGTCTGAATGATAGCCTTGCTGGATAGAGTATTCTTGGTGGCAGGGTTTTGGGGTTTTTTTGTTGGTTTGTGGTGGTTATTATTTTTCTTTCAGCACTTTGAATATATCATCTCATTCTCTTCTGGCCTGCAAAATTTCTGCTGAAAAATCAGCTGATAGCCTTATATTGTTTCACTTGTATGTAACGTTTTTTTTTCTCTTGCTGCTTTTAAAATTCTCTCATCACTATTTTTTTGCCATTTTAATCAATATGTGTCTTGGTGTGGACCTCCGGGAGGGATTTTATAGGGAACTTGTGGTACCTCCTGACTCTGAATGTGTTTCCTTCCCCAGATTCCAGAAGTTTATTATTTCTTCAAATAAATTTTTGGCCCCCTTTTCTTTCTCTTCTCCTTCTGGGATCCCTATAAAGTGATATGTTAATGTACCTAATGGTGTCATTGAATTCCCTAAGTCTCTTCTCATATTTCTTTTTCTCTCTCCTATTCAGCTTAATTGCTTTCCACCACTTTGTCCTTCAGGTCTTTGATCAGTTATTCTGATTCCTCTAGTCAACCCTTTATTCCATCTAGTGTATTTTTTAAAGATTTTATTTATTTGAGAGAGAGAGAACATGAACCAGGGGAGGGGCAGAGACAGAATCTCAAGTAGACTCCATGTTGAGCACAGAGGCTGAAGTGGGGCTCCATCTCACCACCCATGAGATCATGACCTGAGCCAAAACCCAGAGTCAGACGCTTAGCCGACTGATCCACCCAGGTGCCCCTCCATCTAGGGTATTTTTAATTTCAGTTATTGAGTTCTTCATCTCTGATTTTTTGTTTTATGTCTCTTTGTAAAGGGTCTCACTGATGTCTTCCACTCTTCTCAAGTCCAGTATCTTTATGACCATTACTTTAAATTCCCTATCATGCATATTACTTATCTCCATTTTGCTTAGGTCTGTTGCTGTGATTTTGTCCTGTTCTTTCATTTTGGACAATTCCTCTGTCTCCTATGTTGTCTAACTCTTTGTGTGTTTATGTCTTACAAAAGTCACCTACATCTCCTGTTTTTGAAAGTAGGGGCTTTATGAAGAAGAAGTCCTATAGTGTCCTGCAGTGTTGTGTCCCCTGTTCGCCAGAACCTGGTGCTTCTGTGGTCTCTCCTATGTGTGTTGTTTGTGTCTTGCTGTTGTGGCTGAGCCACATTGGCCTTCAGTCCAGTCATCTGCAATGGCTCTCTAACCTACCGTAGGCAGGGTGTGGTCCCTGTGTTACTAGTGGGCCAGTCTGGAACTGCCTTGGGTTTGATTAGGCATTTGCCAGAGATGCAGTAGCACTGAACTGCAGGGCAGTTTTCCTGTGTTGTCCCCTAAGAAGCTTTCGTTGGTGGGCGGGGCCTGCAGTCAGACCAGATGTCTGCCCCCCAGGCCACTGCTGGAGCCACAGTATGACCCCTGTGTATGATTTTTCCCTTATCACTTTGCAGTGGTGCTGGCCCCTGCTGGGGCTGCTTGCACACTGCCAGTCTGCATATTGGAGGGGGCAGGTTCATAGCCAAGTGCATATTGGAGGGGCAGGTTCATAGGAGAAGACAAGGGTCGGTGCAGTGCCAGCAAAGTCTCCCCCCGCACCATGCGCCATGGGAGGGGACCTGCAACCTCCAGACTGAGGTAGGCAAGGTTGGAGGGGGTGGATCCACAGAAATGCATGAGGGCAGGTGAGTGGTGTTAGCAAGCTAGGTGGAGAGCCTTCACAGCACTGGTTTCCATAGGTGTCAAGGCAGGGGGGCAGGGGAGGAAATGGTGCCAGCCTGCTCCTTTGTTTCTGGAGAAGATCTTTGTCCCGCCAATGCCTGTTCTGATATAAATAAACAACTCTCCCTCCTGCATGCCCCAGGTGTTTTTCAAACTGTTGCTTCTAGGCTGTATCTCCTTGGAGCTGTTGTGCTTTCTCTTTAAGGGCAAGGACTCAGCTTCCTCTAGTCCGTTTGGTTCTCCCAGACTTGAGCCTGCTGATTTTTAAAGTTCCAGGTGTTAAGTCCCACTGATTGTAAGAACTCATGAAATTTGGCCCCTCTGGTTTTCAAACCAAATGTTTTGTGGCGGGGGGTGGGGGGTATTCATCTTCCCTATGCCTGGGGTGTCTTTCTTTTCTGGTCTCCGTGCCCATAGCATCCCTCCCTCCTGTATATAGTCCTAAGGGTCTGTTTGGCTCCCTACAGTGACTCTGCACTTCCTACACTCTTCAATATAGCCTTTTCTCTACATTTAGCTATGAAGTCTGTTCTGCCAGTCTTCAGATCACGTGCTGGGTTATTTACACTAATGTGGATGTTATCTAGTTGTATCCATGGGATGAGGCGAGCTTAGGGTCTTCCAACTCTGCCATCTTCCTCAGCTCCTCCCTGCATCCTTTTCTACTAGTGCTAAACACGAGATTTGTCTTGTCTCAAGGTAATGGTTAATATTATTCATGTTTTAGAGGCAAAGAAACTGAGGCCCTGGAAGGGAAATGTGATAAGCAGGTTGATCTCTTGCTTCCGGTTTCAAATTTGGATCACCACGCATCCGGGGTCAGCAGACTATGGCCTGTGGGCCAAAACAGCTGGCCACTTGCTTTTGTAAATACAGTCACAACCGCAGAGTTTAGTAATTACCACAAAGATGGTATAGCTTGCAAAGCTTAAGGTATTTACAATCTGGTCTTGACACCGATTATCCAAATATACTTCTAGACGGTGTTTTAACTTTTTTATAAAACCTAATTGTCCAGAAAGTACTGATGTTTCCATAAGTTTTAATTCAATGTTTACTTGCTCAAAATACTTTTCTCCTCAGAGAGGAAGATAAACTAAAAACTTGGAAACCCAAGTTTTTGATGGCAAAGGAAAAAAAAGAGAGAAAAGGTGCTGAAGAATCAGAAAGGTAGGTACACAGGTATACCTAAATTACAGCTTATCTGCTGAAATTTATACCTTAGAGCTGTGTGACTTTAGGCAAGTCATTAAATTTGTCCTATAAAATGAGAGTAATAGCACCTACATCACTCTATAGTTGAGAGGATTAAAAGAGATAAAGAATATGAAAATGTAAAGCACCACACACACTTCTCTTCACTGTCATCACCCAGACTTTGGAAAATAGGGAGTAAGGAAAGATTTCAAGCCAGCCATATGAAAAAACTTGGTCTTTTAGGCTGTAAGAACTTTTCCCCTATAGATGGGAACTTAAATAATACACCAATTAGAACTTAAACACTGAGAAACTACGATCACATAACAAGACTAATTTCCCTAAAATACAATTCTAGTTATGACTACATTAGTGTTAGAATTAAAAAAGAATGTGTTATCAACTCCTGATCGAACCCTCATTCTTGTGATTCAAGTACCCAGCTGGCTGTTGGGGGGGGTGATGTTTTTACTGTCTCAGATGGTTACTATGTGATCTGTGCTCTGAAGGACAGGGCACAGGATCTGAGATACTTTTAACAGTTGCCTTGGGGGAAATCCTTGTCTCAACAGCCACTGGGATGGGAACACTGTGTGGTCTGTCTGCTCTGGGAAACCTGTCTAGAAAAGTCCTGAAGGGGAACCCCAAAAGAAAGCAGACATCTATCTATACCATATTTAAACACAGAGGATGGCATAGGATGGCCCTTTCCATTACCTTATTTTATTTGGGATTAGACTTGATGTAACTTACTTTTCCCAAGTTCAAAAGATGTATTCACAGACTAGAAAAGCATCTCTCCACCTTAAACCTCATACTTTTACATAGCATAGCAAAACAGAATTTCAAGAGAGAAAATACCAGTGAAATTTTTGACACTACTCCACAAAAAAAAATGTTTAGTATTTTAATGTACACATAAGTCTTTCAGGAAACAATTTTCTAGTGCATTTTTTCTTACAACAAACTGATATTATAGTTTACTTTTACTTTCAACTGAGTAAATTTTAAAATGTGATATTGGGGCGATCATATTCCTGTAGATTGATGTATCAATTTCTAGTGCTTTTTGTTCTTTTAAATGGTTTCTACCATAACTTGTTCCACCAATAAGAAATGCATTCTATATTAGTTCAACCCTTTTATGATCCCTTTATGAATCAAAGATGATGGCAAATTTTCAGAGAAGTTGGGGGAGGTTATCCCAGGTATAAAGGCATAGAAATTGCCTGTTCTGACACTCCTGGGATCAGGACCTGAGCTGAAGGCAGATGCTTAATGTTGTAACACGTATGTGTGTGTGCGTGTGTGTGTGTGAGTGAAGCTGGAAAGGTAGGTTGGGGCTAGCTTATAAAATGCCCTATGTGCCACGCTAAGGAATTTGACTATCTTATGGGCACTAGGGACAAATTAAAGGTTTTAAGCAAAAGCGTGACATCAATTACATTTTAGAAAGATGACTCGGGAGGCAAGTATGCAGATGGGATTTGAGGAAGGAGAGGCAAGAGGAAGATGTTATTTCAGGTTAGAAGTGAAATGTGGCAGTGGCTATAATCTTGGGACAGAATGAAAAAGATGTAGGAGACACTTCTGAATCAAACTAACAGGACTTGCTTTTTTTCCTTCTGTCAATATATTAAACTGCTAAAAAGCAGCACCAACCCCCATGTGAAGAGCAGGAAGGCGGAAAAGGGAGGATTAAGAGTGTAATCTGTCTCTGCTGTAGGGTTATCTGTCAACTTTTATGTGCTGACAATTTTTGCACTTATTTTGTGGTATCTTTATTTTCTTAGATTCTTCTCCAGAACCATCCAGCAAACAGAACAGTTCTCTGATTGAAGCACAAAGATTTATGATTTTTTTAACAAGCTATACTTTGAACCCTGACTCAGAGGAATTTTTTAACTTAAACTGCTTAACCAGTTTGATTTTATTCCAAATTATTATCTTGGTATCCAAAAAAAAAAAAAAAAAAACCACAACCTTTGATTTTTTTAAAGACTTTATTTATCTGAGAGAGAAAAAAAGCACGAGCAGGGGGGTGGAGGGGTAGAGAGAGGGAGAAGCATAAAGACTTTATTTATCTGAGAGAGAAAAAAAGCATGAGCAGGGGGGTGGAGAGGTAGAGAGAGGGAGAAGCAGACTCCCTGCTTTACAAGGAGCCGGATGTGGGGCTTGATCCTGGGACCCTGGGATCATGACCTGAGCTGAAGGCAGATGCTTCACTGACTGAGCCACCCAGGCACCCCCACAACCTTTTTAATTATAGGAAAAAGCAATGGGTATTACCCTGTTCAACTGTTCTGACACTGTGCTCTACTGGAAATATGTGTTATGTATATAATCATCTACAAATACCCACATCATATAGGATTATATATATATTTATGATTTTATGTAAACATATATACATACAAAATTAGACCTGGATTTATCCTGAAGTAGCATGAGTTTATAGATTTGGGAACCTAGAGTTTTATTATGGCACATTTAACCTGACCTGCATATTTCTTGCCACTTTATCTCCTAGAAATTTCTTCAGAACCAAGAAGCAAAACTTAGAAAAGATGAGAATGGAAAAAGAAGAAAAACGTTTTCGAGAACAATTTAAGGTATGTTCTCCTCGGAAGGTACAAGTTATAAACGAATTCCTAGCTTTTAATATTACTACAGATCCTGTAAAAGTGCTGTACCTCTGGCTCTGGGACAGACAGGATCCATGACTCAACAGCGGATACAGGCTTTTCCTGATGCATTTCTCTAGCATCATGCCTTTACGCTTGCTATCCCCTCTGCCTGGAAAAACTCCTAAGTTATTCTTAAGGCTCTGTTCAAATGTCACCCACTCTTCCTGGGAAAGTTATTCAGCACATTTTATCTATCTGTTATACACATATCTGTTCTAACACTGGTCGGATATAACGCAGCCTGTGTATGTATTCTGAGCTAGACTCCAGTCCTCTCTGAGACTCTGTCTCATTCAAGATTGCTCCTTGCCTCCCAACATATCTGGACACAGTGTTCGCTGAGTGAATGAATGACTAGATAAACAAATGAAACCAATGAGTGAATGAAGGAAGCAGTGTATCTGAAGCTCCTTGACTTCTGTCATTATGAATCCATGGAGTATTTCCTCAATTCCAAGGTTCAAACAGACCTTCCTTGTAATTTCATACACTGCCACCCTGAGAATTTATTAAGAAACACTTTGAATAGCTCCCAGGTCCCAGATACTGGATTGAGAGAGAGAATGTGGGCATCCTGCTCACAACATTTCTCCAAGTCACTACAATTCCCCATTAAAAGATGGATAAAGATTAGGCTTCTTAACATGACATATAAAGCTCTTCCTGTCATAATTTCTCCTTGTCTTGCAGATTCTATTTCCTGCCATTCTTCACCTTGCACTTCAGGCTTTGGCAACAAACTACTCAATTCGGTCCCTTCAATGAACATCCCCTTCAGTCCCCATCCCGCCACTCCTTTCCTCTAGGCATTTACTTGGTCTGCTCCAACTACCTGGTGATACTCTTGTTACTTTTCCCCATCTGACTAGCTTTCGTTCACTTAGCAACACCCAGTCAAGGCATCTCCTCTCCTCCAAAAGACTGACCCACACTTGCTCATTAAGGCAATTACTCTTCCTCTATATACCTCTAATCTGAGCTTATCACAAGCACTAACATTATTGCAATTATATGTTCACCAATTAAACCATGAGCTCTTGGAGGACAGATAAGGGTTATCTTATCTTTATATCCATGTGTAGAGCAGAATAAAATTACCTTTGTAAATGTCCAAAAATGTTTTTGGACTGTACTAAAAAAGAATATACACAAATCCCTCATAATCATTAATAACTCCTGCTTTGGGCCAAAGCTGATTAGGATTATTATATCTAGAAGCCATGATATGAAATTATTTACTGCAACTGTGATGTTATTAGTTTAACTGAAAAGCAACAGTGTAACAATTACTTGCTAAAATGACCCTACATTCCATTTAGTGCTTTTCTCACTTTGTGACTGTCTCCTATCTCATGTATATGATTCCATTCTTCCTTATACCTGTGGTGCGTTTTCCTTATATATCATTAGAAAACCTATGCCATATCAGTAATTTTTATTCATAAGCTCAAATCACAAAAGATTAGTGCCTCATTTGTGCTAGGCATTAAGAGTACAAGGTTGAATAAAACTCTTCCATTTTAAGATGGTTATTAAATGCTGTAATAGAAGTATATACTAAGTGTAGTTAAACAGAAAATTATACATTGCAGTTGTGAAAGTCTTCATTAGAAGTGGTTAAGAGTAAAAGGTATTTCAGGCAGAGAAAACCACATGAGCATTGGCCTATATGTATAAAAGACACCTGGTATATTCAGCTTGATGTGGCTTCATTAATGGAGCAGAAATAGGAGCATGGGAAATGACAGTATGCCAAGGAACTTGAATGTCAAGCTGAAAAATGTGGATCTTATCATGAAAGCAATGAAGAATCTTTAGTTTGACAAAAAGGAAAGTGACCTGATTAGATTTTCATTTTAAGAAATCACTATTCATAATGAACAATGGCCAGGAAAATGGTAAGAAATCAGTGAGGAAGCTATTACTTTGTTAGGCAAAAGAAAAATCTATCTTGTGGATCAGATCCCATTTGGTATAGAGTGATACACTTTATCATTCAAATTCAGCAAACTTCTGAGAGTGGAAGAAGGCATACCTAATCCTAATTCTGTGGAGAGATACTAGATATAAGCAGACTGTCCTGAGCAGAGGGAGATGTCTGGCCACCCTAATTTGGTTAAGTAGACGTCTGTAAACATAAGCTTTGTATTCTGGAACTTTTTCTGAGTCAACATATCAATACATTAGAAGGTGATATACCTATAGATGTATAAGCTGGCTAGTTTATCACACAGGAAAAAACCTCCCTTAAGGTCGTAAGTTGAATTTCTCATCAGTTTTTTTTTTTTCCACAAATGCCTGTCTTTGACCCCAGAAGGACAGTGGGAATTGCCCTCCATACCTACTACTTTATATATAATTATATATAAGCCCACCCAGAGAGGAAGGGTAGAAAGAGTGCCATCTAAAAACAAACAAACAAACAAACAAACAAACAAAAAAGAGTGCCATCTAGAACTGCTAGGTATGTAAAAACATTATGAATTCTAAAGCACTACACAAAAAGAGGTTTTTCTCTTTCCCTCTTACTTTTTTTAAACTTCTCCATTCCCAAGTTTGGTGGTAACCTTATTACTGGAACAGCTAACCTAACATCCATGGAACTTAATTTATACCCATGTTACAGACATCTCATCCACTGGAATTCATTCTAGTACAATTGGATAAGAGGTGTGAAAACACTTTGAAAATAGGACTGTACCAAATTAAATGTAAGATTGTGGCATTTTACTACTATTTTTCTATTCCTTTAGATGTTATTTAATATTTAGCATCTTGAGTTTGAGGTTACTATATTATGTCCTCCATTAATTTTGTTAGAATAAAAACTGCACATACAGTCTGATTAGTAATTTCTTCTTTCAGTATGACAAAGAGATTACTGTCATCAACACAGCAGTGGCATGTTCCAGTAATTCAAGAAATGGAATATTCGATTTGCCAATAATCCCTGGAGAAGAACTGCAAGTCATTGATACCACTGAAGAAAATCTAGTGATTTGTCGCAATTCCAAAGGCAAATGTAAGAAGTTACTGGCTTATCACCCATAAAATTTCAGTCACTGTTAAAAAAAATTTCCAAGCATTCTCTCTATAACTTTCAGATTAGTAATAGTGATTTTTGTTTCTACAGATGGATATGTACTAATTGAACATCTAGATTTCAAGTAAGTAGTTTGATTTTATACTACAATCATGAATTCTAAATACTTAATACACTGTTGTGTACATTAGTCTCGAAGACAGACTACGGAATTTATTTAAATTCAGGAAGTTCTGAGAATTACTCTGGAAGAGACTTTATTCTTGTGTCTCCTGAGTATAGCATCAGACTTCTCTACAGAGCATAACGATCAAATTGGGTAAGAAATCTGCCACTCACTACTCTGCTGGCCTCTACTTTTCTGTTTTCTCAGGAATCAAGGCTGGTCACCTTAGGAAGATCAAGCTCCAGTGGGAGGGCCTGCACTAGGAAGGACTAATCTGAGACCTCAGTACTGCCTCACCTCAGGTTCAGTTCGCTGACGTCAAATGGGATGGTGGGATCTGTGGAAATGGAGAAGAGAAAAACAAATCCTCCACCACATTCAGATGTTGGTTTTACTCCTAAATGGTTATCTTTCAATGTCTATGTCAGTATCTGTTTCACTGCTGGCTCAAGAGAGTGTGAAACAGTGTGTGTTAGCATTTGAGCATTTATTTAATGAGCCATAGCCAAAGTTGGAAATCACGCCTTATGGCACCTAGGCAGCTGTGCAGATGGTTAGTTTGCTTCTAATATTAGTACATGACTGTTTATAATTTCTAGAAGATGTTGTGCATTTAAATTGGGTGTAATTCTGAAAAGTAAATAGTGTAACCAAGGTCTTTAAAATACTCAGATTTAAAGCATAATCTTAAAATGTAATTATGGCTCAGTCTATAAGTGTCCTCCTTTATCAAAAATATCAGACAAATGCTGTTCAATATTGGCTTCTTTTGGGAATAGGATGCTGAAAAGTAATTTATTCCTAAAGGAAGGGCCTAAATATATTTAACACAATTTAAATATACATATGCTGTCAGTTTAAAACATCCTGTTGTCCAAAGAAAAATAATTCTATGCCTGAACACCGAGTCAAATAGAATTAAAGAAAAAATAAAAGCTGTAAATAACATTCTATTTTTACATGCTGTGCACTGCCTATCCATGAGATAAATTCTACAGAGGCATACAGCTGTTTTAAAATATGTTGGCATTTTCAACACTGAACAATTTTGCTCCATTGTATTTTTTTTTTTTTAAGATTTATTTATTTGAGAGAGCAGACTCCGCGCTCAGCGTGGAGCCTGATGCAGGCCTCTATCTCATAACCCCAAGATCACTATCTGACCTGAAGCCAGGAGTCAGATGCTTAACCAACAAGCCACCCGGGCACCCCTTTGCTGTGTTCTTTAGCCTTCAAGGGTGTGATGGAATTGGTCCCATGACCTCATTCTTTATACTGTGAGATTTTTTAAATTTTATTTTAAATTAACATACAGTATATTACTTTCAGAAGCAGAGTTCAGTGACTCATCAGTTGCATGTAACACCCAGTGCTCATTACAACACGTGCCCTCCTTAATGCCATCACCCCCCACACCTCCCCTCCAGCAATTCTCAGTGTGTTTTCTATAGTTAACAGTCTCTTACGGTTTGCTGTGAGACTGTTTTTTAAGCTTCTAGGTACTTACCAATAAAAGCCAGGCAGCAGAAGTATTCACACATGAAAGGGGAATATGGCAGAATACAAGAACTCTAGGCTCGTTTCATCCCATGAATACATCATCCTAAATACCCCAGAAATTGACCTGAAGACTGGCAGAACAAATGCCACAATTAAAGGTAGAGAACAAGGTAGAAAGTACAGAAACACAGCTTGGGAGAGAAATGGATCATGGCCGCTGTGGTGGGAAGGGAACCACAGTTGTCTGTTGTCAAAAAGGGCAAGATGAATTCCCAGAGAAATTGGCTTGGAATGGGAGTGGAGCCAAATTCCAGCAGGGCTTAAAGCCTGGAGTTTTAAAGGTCAGTGTGCTTGGCTCTGAGACAGCATGGAGGATACTGAGGCTGCTCTTGGAGAAAAGAAGAGTGTGGAAACAGCCATCTGAAGAGTATCTGGGGCACACAGTAGGGAGGTTAGTTGCTTAGCTCTAAGCATGTCTCAGTGAGACAGCATTCAGGGCAAGACCCCTCCAGGAACAAAGGAACTGACAGGTGCCATTTCCCTCCCCTACCCTTCAGCATAAGCACAGAGCCACCTGCAGGAACCAGCACAACTCAATACTCACTACCTACCTTGCTTACACCAAGCCCCACCTACCCAAGCTCCGGAAGAACTACTTTTCCTAGTCCGCTTGCCTCAGTAGGGTGGCAAGTCCCATCCCCTAGAAGACCAGCCCAAACCCCTGGCAACACCCCATCTCCCAACCTGGGAGTTTTGTGAGACTTCAATTCCAGTGGCAACAGTGACAGGTCTCATTTCTAGTTAAAAACACCATATTCAGGCCAGGGCCACAGCCCACAAAAAGCAAAGAGAGCCTCTGCAGACAACTGGCCTGAAGATAAAGCAGCCAGAGCTGTGGAGACACTCCCAGAAGTGCCAGGCCTGGAGAACAGGGGATACTACACTGCAGGATACTATAGGACTTCATAAAGCTATTACCCTCAAGAATAGGAGATGTAGCTCACTTTCCTAACACAGAAACAGGTATAGAGACTTAGGCAAAATGAGAAGAAACAAGAATTTATCCAAAAGGAAAGAAAAGGACAAGCCATGGCTGGAAATCTAAGCAAAAAAGATACAAGTAACATGCCTGATAGAGAATTTAAAGCAACAATCATAAGGATACTCACAGGACTTGAGAAAAGAGCGGAGGTTATCAGTGAGACCCGTAACACAGCAGAGATAAAGGACTCAATAAATGAAATGAGAAATATGCTTGGTGGAATGAACAGCAGGCTGGAGAAAGCACAGGAATGAATTAATGACCTAGAAGACAGACTATGGGAAAGTAATCGAGCTGACTACAAGAAGAATTATACAGACTTAGGGAACTTAATGACTCCATCAAACATAACATTCATATTATAGGCGTCACAGAAGAGAGAGAAAAGGGGGGTAGAGAACTTATTTGACAAAATAGCTGAAAACATCCCTAATCTGGAGAAGGAAATAGCCACATCCAGGAGGCACAGAGAACCCCCAACAAAGCAGATCTATACCAAGACATATTGTAATTACAACTCTTAAAAGCAGCAAGGCAAAAGACTGTTAAATACAATGGAAACCCCACGAGGCTATCAGTGGATTTTTCTGCAGAAACTTTGCAAACCAGAAGAGAATGGCATGATATTCAAAGTGCTGGATGGGAAAAATCAGCCAAGAATACTCTAACCAGCAAGGCTATCATTCAGAATACAGGAGAGAGAGTTTCCCAGACAAACAAAAACTAAAGGAGTTCATGACCACTAAATCAGCCCTGCAAGAAATATTAAAGGGGACTCATGGATTGGAAGAACAAATAATGCTGAAATGTCTATATTACCCAAAGCAATCTACACTTTTAATGCAAAACCTGTCATAATACCAACAGCATTTTTCACAGAACTAAAACAAACAATCCTAATATTTGTATGGGACCACAAATCCCAGTTAGCCAAAGCAATCTTGAAAAAGCAAAGCAAAGCTGGAGACATCACAATTCCATACTTAAAGTTATATTACAAAGCTGTAGTAATCAAAACCATAATAAAAACTGACACAAAAACAGATACCTAAATAGAAAACCCAAAAGACTCCAGCAAAAAATTTGCTAGAACTGCTACAGGAATTCAGCAAAGTCACTAGATATAAAATCTATGCACACAGGCCAGATGCATTTCTATACACTACCAATGAGGCAGAAAAAAGAGAAATCAAGGAATCGATCCTATTTAACAACTGCACCAAAAACCATGATATATCTAGGAAGAGACCTAACCAAAGAGGTAAAGGATATGTACTCTGAAAACTACAGAACACTTATGAATGAAATTGAGGAAGACACAAAGAAATGGAAAAACATCCCATGCATGCTCGTGGATTGGAAGAACAAATATTGTTAAAATGTCTATGCTACCCAAAGCAATCTACACATTCAATGCAATCCCTATCAAAATATCATCAGTTTTTTCACAGAGCTGGAACAAACAATCCTAACATTTGTATGGAACCAGAAAAGACCCTTGAGTAGCCAAAGGAATGTTGAAAAAGAAAACCAAAGCTGGTGGCATCACAATTCCAGACTTCAAGCTGTATTACAAAGCTGTCATCATCAAGACAGTATGGTACTAGCACAAGAACAGACACACAGATCAATGGAACAGAACAGAGAACCCAGAAATGGACCCTCAACTCTGTGGTCAACTAATTTTTGACAAAGCAGGAAAGAATGTCCAATGGAAAAAAGACAGTCTCTTCAACAAATGGTGTTGGGAAAATTGGACAGCCACATGAAGAAGAATGAAACTGGACCATTTCCTTACACCATACACGAAAATAGACTCAAACTGGGTGAAAGACCTAAATGTGAGAAAGGAATCCAGAACACAGGCAGCTACCTCTCTGACCTTGGCCACAGCAACTTCTTGGTAGACAGGTCTCCAAAGGTAAGAGAAACAAAAGCAAAAATGAACAACTGGGACTTCATCAAGATAAAATGCTTTTACAGCAAAGGAAACAGTCAACAATACTAAGTCAACCTACGGAATGGGAGAAGATATATGCAAATGTCTTATCAGATAAAGGGCTAGTATCCAGAAATCTATAAAGAACTTATCAAACTCAACACCCGAAAACCAAAAAATCTAGTCAAGAAATGAGCAGAAGACATAAACAGGCATTTCTCCAAAGACATACAAATGGCCAACAGACACATGAAAAAATGCTCTGTATCACCTGACATCAGGTAAATACAAACCAAAACCACAATGAGAAAAAAAAAAACACACAATGAGATACCACCTTATACCAGTCAGAATGGCTAAGATGAACAACTCAGGAAATAACTGATGTTGGCAAGGATGTGGAGAAAGGGGAACCCTCTTACACTGTTGATGGGAAAGCAAACTGGTGCAGCCAATATGGAGGTTCCTCAAAAAGTTAAAAATAGAACTACCCTATGACCCAGCAATTGCACTACTAGGTATTTAACCAAAGGATACAAACATAGTGATTTGACAGGGCACATGTACCTCAATGTTTGTAGCAGCAATGTCCACAATAGCCAAACTATGGAAAGAGCCCAGATGTCCATCGATGGATGAATGGATAAAGATGTGGTCTATATATACAATGGATTATTACTCAGCCATCAAAGGAATGAAATCTTGCCATTTGCCATGACGTGGATGGAACCAGAGGGTATTATGCTAAGTGAAATGTCAGGCAGAGAAAGACAAATACCATACGATTTCATTCATGTGGAATTTAAGAAAAAAAACAGATGAACACAGGGGAAGGGAAGGAAAAATAAGATGAAAATAGAAAGGGAGGCAAACCATAGGA